AAAAATAATGTAGACCAAACGGGGCGTAAATATGGGAAAGTGATTCATGAAGGCCCAAGATCAAAATGATTAATTGTCTGCTAAATGCTTCAACTACTGATAACCAATTAAATGTTCTAGCAAGACACAAAGAAAAAACAATCCAAGGAAACTCAATTCCAATTTCTGCTCTTGCGAAGGAAAATGGGGTATCATACAAATAAACCAAATCCATGGCACCATGCACAAGTTAATAGTCATTACGAATTTGAAAATACAACAAAAACTTTGAAGTACATCATCAATCAATCCAGGATATTTATCAATACAAATGCAATTAACTAAAACGATATTGATACGATCTACCATGTAAAGAAGATGGTAAGAAAACTAGAACATTATCTCCGAGATCAAAGTACCATAAATGAGACAAAAATCTCACGAGTACAAAGGCTAATCCGTCCATGCCCCCGACACATGTCCATTCTCGCAAACATAAGCACGAACCACTGGTTCTTCGTCGTCATGGTACCGAAATACCTTTTTAAACAAAAGGAAGAATGCAGGTCCCAGGTTTCTTTGGAGGTGCAGAAGGCACAATTCTGATCGATCTTATTTCTATTTCCATCTTTAATAGTCCTCTAAACCCTCAACTGCTTGAAATTCTTAAAAATTCCCCTAAACAACATATAATTCCACTTCACCATCGACACCAATCAATGTCGTACTACCTTACCCGATTCCCGCCGCAGCACCACCACTGCCACCACCACCAAAATTTCAGCCACCAAGTCCTAAACCAACTCCACCTTCACCACCAGTTCTTTCCCCACCACCAGAAATGTACTCACCTTCACCACCAGTCTCCTCCCCACCCCCAACACCTAAATTCCCACCTCTTCCACCTTCAACACAATTACCACCAACAAAATCGGCTCAAGCCAGGCTGATTAATCGGACCACCATAAGCTATAACCACGCTGGAAACAGAAAGCAACTCTGTCAAAGGGCACATGGCTTGAACACACGTTTCAAGTGCAGCTATATAATCAGTAACCTCCTCTAAATCATCGGTAAATGCTCTTTCATCCAACTGTGAACCAATCGACCGAGAATGTGAATATAGCTTGAGCCAATTTGTAAGAATCGTGCGGTTCCAGCGGGAGCGACCTTTGGCAGTGGTGGCTAATACTCCATCGATGGCTTCACGGACAGCTCTTGGCACCGAAATATAGAGAGGGTGGGTGGGGGTGATATAGAGAGATAAGCAGGGACGGACCCAGCCCGCCATCCCAACCCGGGC